GCTGAGGAATTCTGGGAGTTGAAGTCCACAAGTCTTAAAGTTGCCAAGGTTGGAGACCCCTGTTCTAGTCCAATGCCCAGCTCTAGCAGGAAATCCTATGCCAGGGATGTCAAACATGATTTCATTGAGGGCTGCATCAGGATTGTGTTTGACCTTGAAGGCACCGGGGGGGGGCATGGCCAGCTTAATGTCATTCATGTCGGGGGTGCCTGTGGTGGCCTGAGCATTCTGCCAGCGAAAATGGGCTCCCGATCTCCGTTTTCAGCTGCAATGACTTCTACAACCCTCTGCCAGAGAAAATGGAGCTCACAAGGACTGCACATGGCCCTCCCAAGCTCCATTTTTGGCTGCGATAAACCTCTTGCAACCCTTTGCCAGCAAAAATGGAACTCATGAGGGCCTCACACGGCCATCCCAAGCTCCATTTTCGGTGGCAGAGGCACTGTGGGCTGGTCCTTTGCTGTTTCCAGGGTAGCCCCACAAGCCAGATCCAGCCTGTGGGCCTTGAGTTTGACACCCCTGCCCTATGCCATTTCAGTTGCTATATGAGGCAGTCAGTAAGTGTGGGCTATCTGTACATATATAGCATTGGATGATATTGGCATTGCTGATTAAAAATGCTGGAACTTGTTGAAGAAAAGGCATAACAGTTCTGTGTGTATCAATCACTGCAGATGATCACTAGTCAGCAAACACCAGTCAATATTGCACATTGCTGTAGATAACGTAGGAGTTGTAGATAGGACTGACAAACTAGGCTAGAAAAATCCAGATGACCACTAGATGGCCAGAAAAAGATCTTTGCTGCCAACTAGTGGGCATCTGAATGTTTGCATCCCAGTCTGATATTGTAATGATTTACTTCCTTTACTGATTAGCCAAGAAGGGCCAAATCCATGCATTCTGTTTTAAAAGCACACTTAGGAAACAATGTTTTGGTGTGAATATTATTGTAGACTAAAATTATGCATAAAGGATTGTGTCAATCTCCTCCGTTCTGGTAAAAATAGTTTTCTTTCTGAATTTTTCTCCAGGATATATTGCTAACACAGCTGCCACTGTCGCAGCTACCCAGCTAAAGCAAGCAGTGAATCTAGGACACGATTTGGGAACCTACACAGCTTATGAAGCTTATCCAGCCTTTGCGGTAGCTACTCGTAATGATGGTTATGGAGCCTTCTAAATATATATATATATAATATCTATATATTTAAATATATATTTACATGTACGTGCATATGGTACATACCTCCAGCTTTATTTAAATATCTCTTTTTTTATTTCTTAAGCTGTGACTGGAATAGGAGCTATTCCAGGTTAATTATAAGTCACCCTTAATTATTCTCAATTAATGGTAAGGCATAATTCGATATGGCAAGAATTCTTTGCTTTAGTTTAGCAAGGTAAACAGTGATTGACAATGTTGTACTTTTTTAAAAAGTGGGGGGAAATTATCATAACTAGAAAGGAAAGAAAACTTTTTCAGAGGGCATGCCTATCTCTCTGTGTGCATTTATATGTATCCTTGATGGCAATTTTCAACAATTACCACTTTCAATAATACTTTTAGTAGTATTATTGAAAGTAATAGCTTGTAATAGCTTCATAACTTCAAAGGTCTTTACACTTTTAGGAGTGGAAAGATCTTTGAAGTGATGAAGCTATTACATTTCTGCTTTTCTTGTCCTAAAACATTTTGTACAGCTACAAAATCGGAATAGCCGGATTGCCACAACTCTAGGAGAACATGGTAGAAAATATATGAATGCATTTACTGCCAGTGTTAGGTTGGTCTTGGGCAAGATGTCCCATATAGTGAAGATAGGGACACACAAACACACAAACACAGTTTCAGGCACTTCTTTAATTGTTTCTTTCCATTTTCCTCTCCTAGCACCATTTTTCTCTTATTTCTCATTCAGTATAATGCATGTGCATATGTACTGGTAAAAGAGTAGTACATTTTTACTAAAAGAGCACCCCTTGCAAAAAATGAATTCAATTTCCTTTATCCATGTACTGCAATTAGCCCTCTTCTATAATTTGCCTTTTTAAAGAAATATATTATGTGCAAAAACATAGTTAAGGTCACTTGAAGTTTGACTCTTAGCAGTTAATCTAACTTCTGTTGATAAAACTGTGCTTGTAGCCATCTGCATTTGTCACAACCAATAACAAAGAGTGCAGTCCTATACATATCTTCGCAGATATTCATCCTATTTAATTCAAAAAGGCATGCTCAATATCAATGCATTGAAATTAGGGTTTTTAAGTGCAATTAACTTTGAGTTGGGTTGGTACCACTCTTGATTAGCAAATTATAAGTTCTCACCTAAAAATAAGCTGGGGTGAATTCAGTTGGACCTATTTCTAAGTAGACATATCTAAAAAACGGTTGTAGTGGTAAATTCAGCCATTACAAAGTATAGTTTTCTGTCTGAGTTTTGAAACTATTTTTTTTAAATCTAAAAATAATGTTTCTGCCATTATCTTAAAACAAAAAAATATCTGAGCTTACACTATGACAACAGAACTGAAGACAAATTAATTCTAAGTATTCATAATTATATTTTGGACTAAACCAAAAAAATATTTTGGAATCATAGTTTGAAATTTCTAAGGAGGTGACACAAGTACATTTTTATTCCAAAGCAAATCCCAAGTAGTCAGTTATAGTTACTAGAAAGGAATTATATCAAATTTCCATTTAGATTGCCATTACAAATTATCTTTTGGTTCAATTTTGGAGTATGTGTTTCATTTTAATATTATAGTAAAACCAGATGAAAATATTTCATCAACTAAACTGCATATCTGATATAAAATAGTTCTATTTTCAATCTCATTTAGCTACCGGTAGTTTATTTGCATATGGATTTCAAGGAAAGTAAAAATTTCTGTATTCCTCAGAGAAAACCAAAGCAGATCTGAAAAAATACCAATACATATGAAATTAAGGTTGAATTTTGATGTGAATTATAACAAACATGATTCATACATACAACCAACACTTTTCCAAATTTAATACCTAATTTGGCTCTTTTTTCTTTGTTCATAAAATATATTCATGAAAAGTTGCAGATTATAAAAGTTTATCCCTTTCTGATGTTATTGCGAATCATATGAGAATAGAACTTGATGGGTTCTTAGCAACTCTGCTATGTCAAAGTGATTTTTCTAATCAAAGCTCCAGCAATCCTCTTTATTGCTTGTTTGGCACATATTCCCAAGTTCTTGGCTCATTTCAGTTTCTCTTCTTGTAAATGATTCTTCTTTATGATTGAGTTTGAAGAGTATCTCTCTCCCTTCCAGATGTGTGGGTTACAACTATTATCAAGCTGATTGGGGAATCTGAACTTGTATCTTGACCTTCTCAAATCAAAGGTCAACATTAACAACTACTGATACAGTTTTTTAGTTTAGGCTAGGGATATCCAACTTTAACAACTTTAAGACTTGTGGACTTCAACTCCCAGAATTCTCCAACCAGCATGGCTGGCTGAGGAACTCTGGGAATTGAAGTCGACGGGTCTTAAAGTTGCCAAGGTTGAACACCTCTGGTTTAGGCTGTTTACTATTGGACAATAGCTTTAATTAAAATGGACCACGAGATAACTAGCTATTGTGAATATTCATTTAATGTGGGAGACGAACCATCGCAGGTGCCTGTTCTAAGTGTGACGATGCCAAAAGGATGAAATGTGTATCATGACATTGCAACACATTTCATAATTGCTTTGCAACATCTCATGCAAATAGATAAGGATGGGCATATCACAATATTATAATGACCATTTCATTACTAGCACGCCACTCCCAAGACATAACACCCCAGTCAGCATCTTGTAATGAGATCTGGTCTTCAGGTTCCTGTTGTCTCTTTATTGTAAAATACTGTCATTCTAGCCAATAGGGTTCAAAAGAGCTTTTATTGTCCTTCAGTAGAAGAACACAAGAACTGAGAATTTAACTGGCTTTCAAATACATCCAGTTTCTGAGCCAGAAGCATACTAGTAGAGAATGAATGGCATGAAAAGCACAGTATGCTGTGCTAGCTCATTTGATTTCGTATTGTCTGCATTTATAGACTGTGATTCTCGGAGGTGTCACTACCTGGTTATGGCCAGGAATTGAAAAGCACAAACTTTCCTGTTCCTACATCTCTACGAGCACTTTATTCAAGAGATGGCAGGATTCCCTACATCTAACTGTGTCAGAGTACATTTTAATCAGGAGGAGCTTCTGTCACACTCCAAAGAAAATAAGGACTGCTGCCTGCAGTGTATTTTGATGGCTTGCAACTGTTAAGGCCACAAAACAAAATCATTTTGCAATTAAAAAGACATTGTCTTAGCCACAACATGGGACAATTTTAAAATGCCCCATTTCCTAACTACAGAGAATCTGTTAGATATACTGATCATACTGAGCAAATCAAGTCTTGGAAGACTTCAGTTATTTGAATTTATTCCCACAGGAATATGAAGCCCATTATAGAAATTTTTCTAGTATAAATTTCACAAATAAGCTTATGAATCAGTGGAGGAATGGCCAATAAAACATGAGTCATGCTAGGACATACTAGACTGATGTGGGAAAAAGAAGTTCCATTCATCTAGCATGCTTCTTTGCTACACAGGCAGTCCTTGAGTTATGACCTTGAGTTAAGTGAAACATTTGTTAAGTGAGTTTTGCCCCATTTTACGACCTTTCTTGCAACAGTTGCTATGTGAATCATTGCAGTTATTAAGTTAGTAACCCAGTTGTTAAGTGAATCTGGCTTCCTCATTAACTTTGCTCATGAGAAGTTTGCAACAGCTGATCATATGACCCCAGGACAATACAACCGTCATAAATATGAGCCAATTGCCAAGCATCTGAATTTTGATCATGTGACCAATGGGGATGCTGCAATGGTCCTAAGTGTGGAAAAATGGTAATAAGTCACTTTTTTCACTTTTTTTGAATGGTCACTAAACAAATTGTTGTAAGTCAAGGACTACCGGCACTCATCTGCTACAATCTTCAATCTGCTCTTGTCCAGATATCTTCTGATTATAAAACCCAAATTTTCCAGGCTGGCTTATCTGGATCCCTTCTCAGCTTGACATTATATCTGCAATTGACTTTTTTAAAATGTATGCACAGGTAACCTTTAGATATTGCATACAAGAGCTCAATATAAACAAAAGGGAGGGAAAGATAAATGACAGGTCTTCAGCAATTCCTAAATACAGTAAATAACCCAATAAATATTGCATTTAGAAGTAAGCCTTTCATTTGTAATGGAATAAAGGGAATGTTGTGCAGTGTAGAGCAGTGGTCGTTAACCAGTGGGCCGGGGACCACTGATGGTCCATGAGAAAATTTTGGTGGTCCTCAGAGAAATGTCACCCCCAAAGCAATTAATATAGGCTGCATGGGAACACAAGGCTGCGCCATCCACATGGCCCACAGGAACACAAGGCTTGCATTGAGCACAGCATGAGGTAGTGAGGGGAGGGAGGAAAGAGTGGAGGGGGGAACTTGCCCCACTCGCCCCACCCGCCTCGCCTGGCCACCGGGCTGCTTCTTTCCGCTTCTTTCTTCTTCTGCTTTTGGCTGCGCACAAGGAAAGCAGCAAAAGTCTTTTTTTCTCTCCCCCAAACTCCACCAGAAATGAATCTTTGGGACATGCAAGGCCTCCTGCTCCAAGAGGCTGCGCCGGCATGACAAGTCTCGCAAAGACTCATTTCTGGCACAGTTTGGGGGAGAGAAAGAAAGACTTCTGCTGCTTCTGCTGCTTTCCTTGCATGAAGCCAAAAGTCTCTCTCTCTCTCTTTCCCCCTGAAAACGGAGCTGGAGACGGTAATTTGGGGAAATTTTCCTGCAGACTCTTTTTAGGGATTTTCCCAGGGTATCTGGTCCACGGGATTTAAAATTATGAGTTTGGTGGTCCCTGAGGTCCAAAAGGTTGGCAACCCCTCGCATAAAGTATAAAGATATATTTTAGAACCAAAATGTAAGCAATGGTGAAGTTCTTGCAAGTGATGTGATATCTCTCTCTCAATACGTATTCTTGGTGCAAGCAGAAATTGGCCTCAAATATATGACTGCCATTGGTTGTATTATCAGTGTTATCCCAGTGCTGCAAAAATTACGGCTTACTGGTTCCTTGTTCATGCTTTAAAAATATGCTCACTCAATGTGCATGACTATGCTTAGTTGCATTGATTAAATTTAATGATTTAACATTCCTTTTCTGGT